CACACCATTGTAACAGCAGCGATTATGCCCCCCGCGCGGGCTCAGCGTAACCCAATATCCGCGCGCTATGGGCCAGCGCACACACCCCCTCCCCACCACCGCCATATGTCCCATCGAATCTACGACCGTAGTTAGAAAAAGTACTTTTGCAAAATGTATACTTTGTGTCGGTTGAGGTTCGTTCAGGGCGTAGTAGAGCAGAACAGTGTCATCATCATCATCATCATCATCATCATCATCATCATCATCAGCCAGCAAACGTTTTTGAAACTGTTTACTTCCTGCGAAAATGAATTTGTTAGCACCTTCAGTTGATCCACATGTATTGAATGCTTTAATTTTCTGGGTTCCATCTAAGCAGGAAGGAAATACCGGAGTTTTCTTCTAAAAGCACTTCCTCTATAAGGCTTTTTTTATACTTCTCCAGGGCCGCAACGTGGATGCCCACAGAACAATGGGATAGATGTGAACCCCCCTGTGGTCCAGGTGTACAGAAACGCATCTTCGCATGCCTGGAGACCAGCCGTTATAACACTTCGTCAATCAGACCAGCCGCGGCGTGTGGCGGTGATGCCGGTCTGCAGACTGTCATGTCTGAGATGTCAACGGAAGAATATGAACGGGCCTGCGATTGGGGCAATTGTGAGAGCAAGAGTTGGTGGCGGGTTTCCAATTGGAGTGAATGCTCACAGCCCTGCGGTCCTGTTGGCTTTTCTACTCGTGAAGTGGAGTGCATTATGAGTGGTTCTGAAGGCGATGTTACAATTGACGACCGGTACGCTGACTCCTACTGTCAGTTGGCGAAAAAACCGAGTACCACAAGCCCTTGCAACCGACACAATTGTCCGGGTGAATTTCTAGCTAGTGGATGGAGCAAGGTAAATAACCTTTCAACACCCAATCAATAATGGACGCCTTTTAGAATTTTATTCATCATATACTTCAGAGTGGTCCACACTAACCGTGGAATGGATAGTCGAATACGTTTAGGAAGAGTGTACAAAAGTAGACAATAATACGAATGATTATTTAAATAACCAAAGAACTGGATAGTCGCACGCGATATTTAAAATGATCCCACAGGGTCCAATTGGGCCCAATCGTCGATCCCATAGCGTCTTTATGGTGCCAATATAGAGGTGATATACTGATGATATGGCGTCGACGATATTGTCCATTTGGGCAGAGCTTCGGTAATTTAAATAAGCTGCTTGAAGTGTTTCTGGAAATATCTACCCGGGATCCTTACTGTAAAGTTTTTTGCTCTCCCTAACACGTCCTTAAACTAAACCAGCCCAATAAACTCTGTTTAAGTAGTCACCTTTTGTGTTTACTTTAGTGCGAGCAAAAGGACAATTGCAAGACTGGATTTCAAACCAGACAGCTCTCCTGTCGGTCGCTGAGTGTGGATGGGACTTACAGAGACCTGCCCAAGGCTGTCTGCTACCAGGGAAAAAGGGCACCACCATCGGTATGGCGACGCTGTTTTATACCAGAGAAGAGCGCACTCTGTACCAAAGAGAAGCCAGAAATAGAGAAAGTAAAAATGGTTGTTGTGCAAATGAAATCGGTGAGTTTCTTTTTCCTCCACATATTCCCAGACATCATGCATTGACAGTGCGTTTTGTGGAGCTCACGTCTGTTTGCTTCAAATAGGCGCTGATTTGACTAATTCTTGAGGGAAACAAATTTAAACTACCTGTACACAAAGCCGGTGTTTTCTAAAAAGCATGGAACTCATATTGTATCATATGCACATTCTTAATCACTCATCAGAAAGCGTAATTTTGCGTATGATTAAGCTAACCTTTCTCGAATATGCAAAATGGCTTTTATCAACACAACATTTATCAGATGATGCATGGCATGAGCATAGTAAGATTAACTAGATCGAAAAAGCACTGTATATGCGCCTGTAAGTACACCATTCTCGAATCTGTAGAATACGGGACAGACACGGCATTCCAGTCAGGTGCTCCCTCCTTACACTAAACGAAGCCTGTATGCACCAAGATCAAGTGTTATATCGCAAATGCACACATATGCTTTGCGGTTACTTTGGCAGTGAAGTGTGCCTGAAAAATTGTCTAACATCCATTTGACGAGCAAGCTCATGGCATCAACAAAAAGATGGTTCAGTCCACTTTTGTACGATTTAGATAAGTATCACAAAGATTGTTATTGATATAAACAGTCCACTTGATAAAGACTATACGTATCCGCTCTTGGTTAATAAGTTCGAATATTATGACCGTTATATGAACACTTCGACAGCAGTGTAATATACGCGATCACCAGGTACAGGTTACGATATTTTTACGTAGTTTTATAAGTTAGATATGATAGATAGATAGAGAACTATATTTTGATGATAATATCAAAATTTTTAGCAAAAACGTGGCCCATTCACGGAGAACAAAAATAAGATAAATTATGGGGTCCAAAAAGCTCAAGAGTAAACGTTCAAAGATAACAAAATACTCAAAGTAAGAAGTCGACACGGTTACCACATCTGTCATGGAGACAGGTCTGCCTTCAGCTTCTCAATTTCCATTTCTTCACACGTGAGTAATCGTGCTAAGAATGGGAGTACCGAGTGCTGGTAGGCCGATGTACGGCAGGTCATATGACGGAAGCTTCGGCGCATGGTA